TTACATATTCACTTTTTGAAAATTTACAAATTATTTTGTTAGCATTGAGTGTATCATTTTATATATCACAGCGTACGGCAGTGCGCGCTAGTGACGAAAGCAGCCACAGTAGCATGCTGAAATGACTCGCTTATATATACACGAGATTTGGAAGTTTTTAACTAGACGTCCAATCGACATGTTTGAGGTATCGTTGGAAAGGTCTTGCAGAGTGTGTCCAGTAAATGTATTCAGGTTTCATAAACGATTAACCGGATTCTTAAAAATTAGGCTAAAGTGTTGCGAAACAAAAACCATTTTTTTGCTTTTGCCGGTTTAAGGGTGTATGTGGATGCACCAAACATATTTAGTGTTATTATATATTAATTTCCGGCTACTAGTTGGAAAGATACAGAGCTAAATGTGTTTTGGTTCGTGTCTCCACTACGAGATGCTTTGCGATGTGTGTAGCATCTGTACGTACCATCATTTAATTTTTTTCAAACTTTCAGTAATTAAGGTACCAAAAAAACTAGGAAGGTTTTGTTCCAGGATGTTTCGATTCGTATGCTTTTGTGGGCGTGGATGGAGATCAGTAGAAGGGTCCTAAAACATATCAGTAGAAGGGTCCTAAAACAAGCTATCTAAAGCTGTCTTTTGCGTTTATAAAGTATACATAAGCCATAACGTTATCGCCTGAAAACCAAAAATATAAGTTTCCACAAGTCTAGCCCAAAACCTTAGCTTTCATATGGTATATAGCTAGTATCTGGAAAAACTCTTGTTGTGGAGATATTACGATTCAAATTGAAAAAATGTCGCCCCGAAAAGGGTCGAATGGTTAAAAACTAACATATTCGTCTAATTTGGTTACTTGGTTGGTGGTCATTCCCCGATTGCCACTTAAATCGAAATTCCCTCGAAATTTTGGGGAATTTGCCGCGCGTTGACAAGTTGAAGGATGCAGCTGTGCTAATCACTTAGTACATGTCTTGGAAACCACAATTTGGGTGTATTTTAAAGTTTTTTCCAGTCACATGCCGAAATTGTAATATTTTTCACCATTTTAATTGTAGTTATGTACGCAGTATTTAACTATGCTACATGGGTTTATCACCCGCACTTAACCTACCTGGGAAGACGCATACAATATTACCTACAATTGTACAAAAATATGTATGTATGAATGCATTTAGTTCACCCAATGTGCCGCTACTATTTACATAAAATGTATAAATTGCCATGGAGCAAAACTACTTGGGAAAAAAGCATTAGTCCTTTCGTTATATTTACAAAGGATTGGTAAAATCTTGTTTCGTTGTGAAAAATGTGTTCACAATATGAACGAAAGTTTCGTCCGTTGTACGAAAACCAAGACTACGAAAGTTTTCCGTAGCATTTTACGAAATTTTATTTTCAGTGTAGTATGTATAAAATGCTTTACTTACTGTGCATAACATCTCCTTGCGTCGAGTAGTATGTGTCCAAATGCAAATCTGTGATGTGCCAAAAGTAGCCTGAAACAATAAGAAACGAATAAAACATTTAGAAAAAATGCTACTTTTATACTAGGTAAATCAGAGGAAAAAATCATGTAAATTCTTCCACAAAGTGCTCACAAACTTTCAATACACCAACTGGAATTTTTGTAAAAAAAAATTAAATCAAATATGTATGTAGAATATTAAACTTTAATGCTGTTAAACGAGCACTTGACCCAATGCAAAGCCTTCGCAACCGCCACATATGACAGCAGCAAACCAACTCTTAGTGACATAATTTGAAAATATCACTCAAAGTCAAAGCGGACATTTAAGGCCACCAGGCGACAAGCTGAAAAGAAATCAAGACTGTCCGGATTCGAAAATATCGTAGAAATGAAAGTGGAGGGGAGTAGAATAAAGCAAGTGTATGTGTGTGGGCGTATGAGCATCCAGGCAGACGTGAGAATATGTCAGAAGCTTTGGGAATACGTACATACATAGATATGCATATGTGAATGTTGACAATTCTAGGCAGTCGCGTGTGCATATATACATATATACAAGCAGATGTATTTATGTGTTTAAGTGTAGCCGTACACATTGGTATGTATTTATGTGTCTCCATTGACAAATGGTACAACCGTATTACAATTTGTAAGCGACAGTTGAACACGCTGCATTCATATGAGCATGAAAAACGTGTTCGGAGACAATAAGTAACGTAGTGAATCTTTTTTAGGTATGTATGTACATACATATGTGCATGTAGTCGTAAGCTCATGAACATCTCAAAGGGACAGCAACTAAACGCTGAGACAACAGAATACCAACAACAAATAAGCCCATTTCAAACTCTAGCTATCAGTGTTGCAGAAGACATGTTGGTGGCGCAGTTGATGTGCATTTTACCCCGCCTTTTGGTAAGAGTTGCCACACCGTGAAATAATTGGGTTGATGCTAAAGAGCGATTAATGAAATGTACAAAATTAGTTTAATTGTTTTCCAGAATTTCAGTGCTAAATATTAGCGGCTACAAAAAGGAAAATGTGGCTGCAATTAGACCGTCCACGGAAGAAGTTGCCTGATGTAAGCGATTCGAGAAATATACGTATTTGCTACAACGAGAAATACCCCCCTTACAGAGATACGCTGCGATAAGTTGCAAAGCAGTTTATTTGAAAAAAGAAAGATTCTTATTTCAAGCGAAGGCAACAGCAGAATGATGAAAACGCCTGGAATTTGAGATCTTTTTTAAAACTAGTACAAAATTGTGACATATATGCAATTGCCTCAGCCGTGACCAACGACAGTGTTGTGAGTTGGGAGCTAAGGATATTTATCATGCGAAGGAAAGTCAATAGGATAACCCTGCAGGGTGGAATCCTCTCCCCTGCCATAAAAGTGAGCAAACGGTTACGACGCGGTGCATGGAGGCAGTTGGGCACAAAGTAATTGCTTGGCGCCGCTCGGCTTTCTGTATAGAATTTAAATGATGATTCTGTGTTTTATTTTATAATATACTAAACAAGTTATATGAAAATATTAATAAATATAAAACTAGTTTGATATACGAGCAAAAATTGCCAAAGTTTATCAGGGACTATATTTACCCTACGTTGTATAGGTGAGAATTTTGTTACACCTTGTAAATCTAGGGTAAAATCTTGCTTTACTAGCGTGAACTATAATAACGGTGATCATTCGTACCAATTTTGGTGGGACATTACCGATTTCGGGAAAATTTTGCTGCTGAATATTTTTAAAAGTTGCGGCGTATAAGTGCCCCGAGTTTTCACAATTTTACCGATTAAATCCCGATTTTCAATATTTTCTTTATTAATTTAATAGGAGTAGTCTCCCGGTACTCCACCCCAAAAACCATTTTTCAGACAAAAGTGGCAGATCTTTCGTTATCTCAAAGAACATAGAATAAAAGGAGCCAAAAACATTAGATCTTTATTTTCTCTGATTTTTTGTCATGTTTTAAACTGGTGTTCTCGCTTTATTTCGGTGTATAATTTTTTTTGTAATTTTCTTGTTATTTGTTGTCTTCTTATTAAACGATACTAACAAATAAATTGGTGAAACTATAACAAATAATTCTAATTTCCTTAAAAAATCATGGATATGAAAAATATAAGATATGTATGAGTGTACCTACTCGTTTAGTAGACTATCCCAAAAAACCAAGGTTGTTTTTCTAACGCATACCACCTCATTTTATTAGTTTTCTCTTAACAACTTCCCAATCAAATTTTTTCCAAAGGACCATAAATTATAATATATTTCGAAAAGTTTACACAAAATATGGATATATGGGTATCAATTTAAAGAAGAATTCGAAACTGGATTAATTATAACTTTTGTTTTCAATTATCCTTTTGGAACATGCCAAAATGTCCTTTAAAACTATTATCCTTAAAGATGTTTAAGTTTGAATGCATTTTGAAGAATCTTAGTGTAATTTAAATCCTATGAATATATAAGGAAAAAAAAGATACAAATTTCGAAGGATATTTAAAAAATTTTTTAATTAATACCTACCTCCTCAATTAATCCTTAATCAAATACTAAAGCATTTTATTTTGTTTATTTAATATTACGGAAGCCATTTTTTTTTAAAGGAGGAAAAGAATTTGCTATAAAAGTTGAGTTTGATAATTCAATGTTCGTCATACGCCCTGTCAGACCAATTAAAAAAGTTCTACAATTGCAAATATTCAGGACAAACAAAAATTATTCGACTAGAAAACACATCGTTTTGCAGCCTTTTTTCGATGTCCTTGAAAGAAATACTGCCATTATTTTAAAAATTTAAAGATGCAAATTTACTAAAAATGCGTTCAAACATTGGAAACATATCGAATTTTTTGCATAAAACTTCATACATGTATACGTTATTTAGGCTAGAAATCACAAATATAGAGGATATGCACATACATTTTTTTCCAGATATTCGTGGGACATGTACACATATATCGCACGTTTAATAATATAGATACATATGGTAACTCAAAAATTACGTTTTTGGAGATTTCATTAATAAGCTTGATAGGTAGAATATGTTCAGTCCAACAGATAACCAAACTTCCGATATATTTGTATACATTTCTCCCATCATTTTTATACCCGAGCACACTTGTGCACAAGGGTATTATAACTATGTTCACCTAACGGTTGTTTGTAACAGGCAAAACGAATCGAGATAGATATAGACAAATGTATACATAAATTATCAGAATGCAAAAAGAAATCGATTAAGCTGTAACGGTCCGTCCGTCTGTCCGTCTGTGCACACGATAACTCGAGTAAAAATTGAGATATCTTAACGAAACTCAGTATGTGTATTTATTTTTAGCGTAGGACGGATGGTATTGAAAATGGGCGAAATCGGACAATAACCACGGTAGCAGTATTTTAAGAAATACGAAAACTGCGATAATTTAGTAACTACTTAAGCCTATTCACCTAAAATTGATATTTACAATGATTTTTAGACGAAAAATAATAATATTATAAATTTTCGGAAAATGGGCGTAGCCACGCCCACTTATGATTACACGTGTATATCTCGGTAACCCCCAAACTTGGCACGCTTGTTGACCTTGGTACAGCATATCAATGGCTGAAAATTTTTAAAATTGGACAATAACCACGCCCACATCCCATATAACGGTAATATGCAGAAATACGAAATCTTCTATAAATCAGTAAATACTAAAGCTAATTTATTCAACATCAATGTTTGCAATAGCTTTTTAGCACAAAATAAGTGTATGATACAATTTTAGAAAATGGGCGAGGCACCGCCCACTTATGACCACATATGTGTATCTCGGTAACTGTTCGAGCAATTTGTACCAAACTCAGAATGATTATTGGGCTTGCCATATAAAAGCAAAACGCTGAAAATTATTGAAATCGGACTAGAATCACCCCTGCTTATCATGTAGCTGTAGTTTTCGGAAAGGCGAAAAAAAACTATATTTAATAATTGCGCGGGGTATCGGCTCCACCCGAACTTAGACTTTTTTACTTGTTTAAGTTGGTTTTCTTTGTTTTGTTTTAAATAAAACTGCATTAAAAAAGTTTATGTCTTTTCGTTCTAAAAGCTAATTTTTATATTTTGATACGATGCTGTAGAATAGTCCCGATTTTATTCCACAGAAATCTGTGTTACAAATGACTCTATCTCTCTTACAAACTTAGTTTATATGTATTTGTATTCGCTTTGCGCCAATGCGTCAATCATTCACGATTTTAATGAGAGGCAATTTAAACGTTCCTTAAAACGTTATTTTCTCGGTAGTATATTTTTTGCTAGGCGCTGAGCTGTGGTATTTTTTATCCTTTTTGTGGTGCAATTGACAAAGGAATTCTTTCTATTTAAGTCGTATTCAATAAATATCTTTTTAAGTCGTATTCAATATATATCTTTTTAATCACAAAGGAAAATTAATTTAACATTACAGAGCGTATGGCAACACTATGTTTTCCCGTTACGATATCTCCATTTAATTACTTTTTTGAATTTTTTCTGTTCGAAGATATGTATGTCTAATCTAGCATGTGTACAAATCGTTTTCCTGCCAAAAAACTGCATTTAATTTCAACACAAATTTCTGCAAATGACGTCGAATTCCCGGACATGCGACTTGATGTGACTTTAATTGCAAGCGGATATTTTGTGCAACGACATGTTGCTTGGCAACAACCAAACCACTAGACTAAAGTCAACAATAGCAAAAACAGCAATAATAAACGAACATTGAGACAGAAAACAGTAGAGCGATAAACAAACCGCCAAGTTGACTTTAAATAAAATAACAGCGACATCATTTCGTTCTTCTTTTTGTGGAAGCGCACAAAAACAAAGACAATCGAAGAAGAACCAAACAAATATGCAGCACCAAAGGGAGACGTGTAGCGACAACAATGTAAGCATGACTGTGCATACATACATACGTACATACCCTGCAGGGAAAGCTACTAGTTGTGAACTAGAGTTCTACCGGTTTGCGTTTCAGCCGAAC